ATATATATATATATATATATATATATATATATATATATATATATATATATATATATATATATATATATATATATATATATATATATATATATATATATATACATATATACATATATACATATATACATATATATATATATATATATTAAATTGCGTAATGGCGTAATGGCGTAATGCGCTTGAAGTTAGCGAAGTTGTATGGCCAACGAATAATATACAGTGACTCAATTTATGCTGTTAGCATTTCTTGTGTTTATGTCCGGCTTCAAAATATCAGTGGTGACCAATATCGAACAAAGGCAAAATTAGGAGATTCTTTGCGAAGCCTACAACTGACAGATGCTCTCATCAGCGGAGACGGTTTCCACGTCAAATGTTACAGCTACACTACAGCGGCCATGATTAAAGACACCGGAATCGCGATGATTACATGTAAAAACGATGTTAACAGTGGCGGACTGGCGTCCATGAGCAAAACTAGATATATCTTATGAACTATAGGTAGAATAGCGGTGATGAATATACTCCAGGTATCCATATTCTGATATTCATTACACAGAACGCAGCAATATATTAAATGGTTTTTTTCGCTGTTGACAGCCCGCCCCGCGAAGCGGATTTGCAAAAATTGTCAACGATAATTTTGCCATATTTAGATGGTTTCTGCAATACCAGTATTTACCCAGAGGATGATGCCAAATACTGTAATAGTGAAATTTTGTGCTGGGTGCTTTGGGCCTCAGGTGCATCCACGCAGTTTAATGCCAACCATTGTATAAAAAGATCATATCATAACAAAATGATGAATTGAAAATCCACTAATATTCTATTGTAAATATATTAAGCACTTCCAAATTGTGTATTGTTCCGCTGGAAATTAGGGTATACTGTCCTATATGTTGAGCACACAAAGTGACAATTGTAGCTTTTTAAAAACGAATCATTCATGTCCACGCGAGATATTTGTACAACTGTTTCAATAATATAGTCTTATGGTGTTTTGCGTGCTACTTTCTACGGTTGAAATCTCCCCCGCGTATCCTTGGAAACCAGTATCTATCTTGGAACATGCTGTATCGTCAACTTTACATCCACTGTAGCCTATGAGAGATTTAGGAGTGGCAAGCGTATTGCAGATAAGAAATGGGGCACCAATGTGACCAATCATTGAAAATTCGGGCGCACCCTGTAAGGTAATTCGAGCCTACAACTGTTGATTGGCTTCTGATCACTCCAACAACTCTGTGCAAGATGGTTTCTGCACGAGTTTGCATATATATCATGCTTTGAGAACCGAACAATCAGAGAATTTTTCATATTTTATGCTGGTGTTTGCAATCTGCATCCACGCTCGGAATTCAATATATTGAATGAAAATTCATCCATATTATCAAGTATCAGTCTAAAACAATCTATATAATCAATGAATTTGATCACACGACTGATCATGTGCATTTTTCATTTTTCATTTTTCATACTTCAGCCGAATCATGAGTTCAGCTGTTCACTGTTCACTGGTCAGGCGTTGAGATGGGCAGATGGCAGATGAGTGAGATGACTTGTGTCGTAGGCTCAAATTGCACTTTGCATTTTGCAGTGATTGGCGAATGAAGAGTTGATGATCCAGATCCAAATTCCGATATAGCTCTAGCTGCTCTACCAAGTCCAAAAAGTAAAAACATTGGTGGTGATCAGTTGATCACTGATTGGATTTCTGAATTTCTGAATTTCTGAACTTGGAAGTATAAATACATAGTCAAGTAGGGCGTAGGCCCGTAATCCGTACATACATACTCGTTTGACGTTTAGAAAAACGTAAATACCGCTGAAGATAAAAAGTTAAAAACTGAGCAAGTAAATATATGATTACGTTTATCGTTTATATGGCCCTATTGTAGTCGATTTGGGTGCATGTAGAGCTTAGAGGTGCAACGTTTTCAGAATGTTTCTCCAAGATATCCGCTCAACCGAATGTTTTCTTGGTTTATATATCTAATATATCGAATATAAATATTGTCAGACATAGCCCCTTGAAAAGGTGAAAGTACTAATAGAACATATATATTATCCCATTAATGTGAAATTTGTATTCCCCCACAGAACAAGACAGATCTATAGCATATCCTATTATCCATAGCCTTTTCAATTTAGAAGGCTATGTGATATCCAATATGTAACTATTTACGGATCGTACATCCGACCGCGGATTATGACCCACCCTCAATTGCAACGCCTAATTGTTGACAAAAAAAAACACTCAAGGAGATTGGTGGCCCTCATATATTGATACAAGACCCAGATCAGTTATCAGGTGAACTGAAATGACAATATTGGACTATATATAGCAGACTGGGTGAGAATTTCGGTCACAACATAGTGAAACAAACAAGATCATGAAAATCACAGGAGCGATTGCAGTATTGGCGCTATCCCTCGCAGCAAGCAACAGCTCGGCATTGCCATCTCGCTCGCGCCGCGGGCCACAGATAATCACATGCAGTGACTGGAAATCGGATGGGAATAAATGTCCGAAAAATGAAAGCCACAACGAATACCCTTACGTCGATGGTTATTGCCAGTACAGAGGAATTGGTTTGGGAACTGACGATATTTCAGATTGCGTGAACGTGTGCTGCATCCCCACGGAACTGTTGCGAATCTAGAATCATGTCACATGTGGCCAATGAGTTGTCTAGCGTAATATATATATAAAATATCGAACCCTGGGGTCAATGATCAGCCGCAATATGAGGAGATGCGGGGCTGAGGTTCTATAACTTGTAATAAATATAAATTGTTCGACCAAAGCCTGCCTTCCGTATAAAACTAATTGCAATTGTGGTTTCTTGATATCACCCGTGCGCTCGCTACTATTGGCAGTGCAGTCGATATCCGAGCGACAATCTGGCACTCGTTTTCAAAACTGATTCATAGTTGAGTGCAATATAATCGTTCTGCAACCTACCATATCCTTCTAAATTGAACAACATAGTAAATTGTCATTAACGCATATTTCGAATGGCGACGCCTTAGATTTGGTGCCATAAACTTGTGCTGCGAGCTGAACTTGTTATGAAATGGCGGTACCCAACTGTGTACCGTTTACAATCGCATATATGATACATGTGATCAAGTAGCCTTTTTTATTTCAGTATTATATAATATTTGCTAGCGTGCGTGTTTGCCTGTTTGAACAAAAATGCGTTGCCTTTCACATAAATAGCTACTTAATAGCGAATCAAAGTTGGAGTTACCAGAATATAACCATATGAAAAAAACTAGGAGCGGTACAGCAGTTAACTACATACCGTACTCTTCTTGTGCACACTCGATTAAGAGCAACCTTGGGGCTTCCTACGATATCTGGTTCACCGATACATATGTTTCAATGATAAATATAACAGTGTCAGCCAGATATACTGAAGTGGCTATCAAGCAGATGTTCTGTATAAAGAAGCAATAGATATTTATGTAGACAAAAATAAAGTATATTCGCCAACAGCCCAAAAGCCATATTACCATATGAAATTGAAACATAAGGCACCCCAATATAATATGAAAACTACAAGAATTAATATATGATGACAGATATTAAATTCGATCACTTTCTCCTATAATTTCTTACATAATCATTCCGAAGTCCGCAAGTTATGTTCTAAGTTTTAATTATCATCTAGGTCGCCGGATCCCACACTAGTATCTATTCAACAGCAGTTTAGTCTCCTCCTTCAGCGTCATATCGTGCATAGCATTCCACTCAGCCAGACGCACCCCCACGATAGCTTTTAGTAGTGGCTCTCCCAACGCTTGCTTCAGTACTTCGTTTTTCTGCAGAGCCTTAACGGCGGCTACTAACGTCTCGGGTAGTCGCTGTATGTCAGCGACTTCTCTTTCCAACTCTGCAATGAAACAACCTCGAAGAAATTGAATTTATGCTTTAGAATTTTATTTTTTAATACTATTCATTTTAGATCCTGCCACCTTAACAATAATATATGTGGTCAGGTGTCATGCTCTGCCAAAAAAGACATAAATAACTGGCCAAATGGTAAGCATTCGCCCTTTAGAAATCAACAGACAGAATATTGAATAAAATATTGCGCACTATAGCTCTGACCGAGCGTTGTATGCATTTAATTTCTTTGGTGACTGTCAGTGCACCAAACAGGTACTCACGACTGCTTTGCTATCCTCTCAAAAGCGATACATGCTTATATTATCTACCATACATATCAACCCTACGGCGAATACTTGAGCGAAATAGAGCCCGCGATCATCTTGATTGAGCGCGCAGGAGGATAAAGTTTTGTATGATACAGACATACGGGTAAGCATATCATGACGATGTGGAATGCCACAACCCACTCCAAAATCTAAAACGTTGGCACATGGACCATACCTGACAGTGTAGCCGGATCCACATCCATGCGCTGTGGCAAAGGCCGTCGTTGTCTGATACCGTCGAGACCAGCGACTATCACGCCTCTGGTAGTGGTTGAATGTGTATAATCTAATTGGTATTGGATCTCCAGCTTTGATGTAGAAGCAATATAGCACTTGCATATAGATTCGCATCGCTCGTTCGAAAACTTAAATCCCACGATAAAGCCGCGCATTACTATAACCAACAAATGAAAACTGTTAAACTGCTCTCTAGTTAGAATGATCCCATCAACACTTTAGAGCCAGTCAGATATTGAACTTCATAGTCATGGCGGCAGTATACTGTTGCCACTGAAAAACAATAGGGACATCACAGTGATCTCTCACAAAGGGCCACATACTATGAACTCACGGTATGGTTGCGTAGAACAGAAATGAATAGCATGTGACAAAACCCCCGGCTACTGAATAAACGCTTAGCTCTCTGGAGCCTAGACTAGACGCACCTCAATACCAGAGAATTAGCAACGGTATCGGTATGTGGTATAATCCTGGAACGAGCTGTGGTATATATGTTTCATACAGCAGACTATGGGCGTACTAGTCGCTGTGGTATATATATTTCATACAACAGACTATGGGCGTACTAGTCGTTGTGGTATATATGTTTCATACAATAGACTATGCGCGTACTAGTCGCTGTGGTATATATGTTTCATGCAACAGACTATGCGCGTACTAGTCGCACACTCCAAGACGTATATTACAGTACATCACGGACAGCAACAATCAGTGCAAGCCGCGGCACAAACGGTACAGTCCAATATGAAATAGCTCAGCAGACGAATGGTTCGATTCAACAAGTGTGCCTGATGAGGGGTTTTGATTGGTGCAACACAGTCCTAGTGCAGAATACGTCCACCAATACATATACAGTCCAGCCCAAGCATCAGAGCACGAGGTGACCGCACCACATACCCCAAGGCCAGATACGGGTTAGCGGAGTTGTCACAGGGTTTCACTTCGATATTTGTGGGATAGGGTTTAGGGTGTGGATTGGTTGGGACGCGCACGGCGGCTTCCTTGTTGTCAATGCCCCACACGCGGTACGCTCCAGACCAATGCATAGGCTGTGCCGGGGAGAGGAGTGTGGTGTGTTGTTAAAATGTGAGAGAGATTAGGTAGTTATTAAGAATCGACCGTGAGGGGACTTGTTATATGTGGGATACTTTAACAGCAGGAGTCTACTTGGAGAAGGAAGCTCGGAGAAGATCATAGGATACACCTCGTTGCAATGGGAGGGATACAAGTTTCGTTGGACCGATGTGGAAGGACTGGATTAGTGATCCAACCTAGCCGATACGCGATTACATTGCGATCAGATGAAGTAATGTGGAGCTCACAATGAATGAAAAATGAAGCTGTATAAAGTGTATACGTGTTGAGAGAGTCATACGAAGGAATAGTGTCTGTTTTGCTCATTGCACTGCAATACACAATAGTGAGTCAAAAGAGCCGAAGCGTTCATATTGACAAAAAAACCTACGATAAAAAAACTACAACTAGACAGCCGCCCAAATAGACTCACTCATATGATATATATATATATATATATATATATATACATACACACACACACACTATATATATATATATATATATATATAATAATAATATATATATATATATATATATATATAAATATATATATATTATATATATATATATAT